GTTATAGTATTTATAAGTTTGTAAATGTATTATATGAACTATATGGGGTGTAGTCATTAGTTGCAAAGTTTGGTATTTGTATCATATATACCATAGATGAACACGAATTATACAAAAGTTTAGAGGTAAATAAAAATAAACCTCGTCTACACACTAGTGACACCTGTATCTAGACTTACAGCTGAGTAATAACTAGACCACTCTTATAGAAGTTTGTACAAATATAGTTGATTCAAGAACTAAAAATAAAACTTTCCTCCGATTGGAAGAATTAAATAATTATATATTAAACAATAATTTAGACTTTGAACTTAATATGTATATAATTAAATCTTACACACAGAGTAACCACCGAGCGATGACAGTTTTTCATATTTTCCATATAATGTAACTTGTGTCGTAATGTTATTTTCTAGTTTTTTAGTTCTTGAAATAACATAGTTAAATAATAATAATTTTCAAATCAATGAATCGTCAGAACATGTTTATATTATTCAGTCGAACATTATCATATAGCATTTGACTATATTAATTTGTTTTTCATGAGGCATATAATGAACAGCGAACTGTCTTACTATACTTTAAGATGGTTTAAAGAAATATTTATAGAGCAGCGGAAGAGGAACGAACATTATCATACTTTATTATATATATATTACACAAGAAGTCAAGAAAGTGTTAAAGTTATATTTTTAAAACATCTGAGAAGTGACAAATGCTAAGAAATTCACTTTTGATATTCAACAGCTCCGCAACGAGTCCGTTCTTTGTCTCCATCAAAACTACTTGATATTAATTGTTGGGTACGATGGGTTTCAGGGAAAAGTATAGTCACAAGTATCCCTGTAAAAGAAAAAAAAACAGTTATGTTGGAATAAAATTTAAAATTCTTTACCTTTACACAATCCCAAAATCTATGTTCATTAATACATAAGGTATTGTATTATAATTTATGTTACAGAAACAATGTATATCAAACGGAATCAATCCCATAGTCAATGTATCCTAACACTCATTATGAATCTCTTATAAAGTATTGTATTATAATTTATGTTACAGAAACAATGTATCAATCTCATATTCAATGTATCCTAACACTCATTATGAATCTCTTAAGTAACTGAAACTAATTTTGATAATTAAATTCGTCACAAGACAACAGTACTAGGCTTAGTGTAACTTTTAATACTGATTTTCTTTGCTCCCTTAAGCTTTATCTTAGATAAATAGTGTGTAATAATATTTAAAACACCTTATGTTCAACATATCCATTATCGACATTATCGATGTCATTAATCCAGCTGGGATACAAATAACATAAAGGTTTTTCTTACTCTTGAATGTTTCGGATTTCGACAGTTTGAAACATTATAAAAACAAGTCAGGTCAGTCGATTTATTTACTTTCATTTTTCTTCATAATAACAAACTTGACTAAAACTTCAAGATAAAATCTGCTAAGATATAGGTCGTTTCTCTCTCTCTCTCTCTATATATATATATATATAAGATATTTACAAGTAAACATACATTAAACTTTGAGCCAGGTTACGCTGCTCTAACAGTAAAGTTTTGAAGTAAGGTGTTGTTTTGTTGTCCTGGTTGTATAATTTGATTTCATATATAAAACAAATGTACTAGTGAAACAAATCATGAAAAATAATATAAACCAACATCTTTGAAATATAGTAAATGAGAACTCTTTCCATTCCTGAAATAAAAAGAGTTAATTATGACCTATCTTACCTATGAATGAAACAGTCGCTGTCACACAAAACGTAGCAAACCATCCTAAAGAAGAAGTAATACGATGGAGAACTAAAGGCCAGAGAAAGAAAGAAGCTGTCTGGAATATAAAGTATTGAATTATCAGTTAAATCTCGAACAGTTTATTTTATGTATTGTATCAACTTTATTTCTGATATTTTCTAATCTAGAAGATAACATTTCTTTAATGTAAGTAAACCTTCACTAAGAGGGTTGGTCTTTAAACAAACTTATCTATATAGATGAATCGTTTCCTTATCGAAACATTTATTTGAATATCGGCAAAGTTACGATTCGGTAATAAAAATATTGATATTATGGTGTTTTTATCAACATGTTGATGATCCTTGATCTAAACTTACTGATGTAAAAAGTGCCATTCCAAAAATTTCAACAGTGTGTTTCGTTCCAAAAACTTCAGCAATAGCAGCAGGAATACAAACAAAAATAAGAGGAAATGTTGCAAAGAGCCCACAAATCCAGATCATGTACATCACTTTTCCTCCGTAAGGTGTCGCCACCAGAGTGAACAGCAATACTGACTTTATTCCCAGCAAGAGAAGAATCGTTAACTAAAGATTTATAGGTACATATATATATATATATTATAGATATTATAATTTTATGACACTAATGATAAAAAACCTTTGAATAATAAAAGAAACATATTATTCTGTCCTAATTTTCTCTAAATACATATTATTTTGTGTATCCTTTTATTTCTGTGAGAAAAACAACATTAAGTACTGATTAGGTATGTGAGGTGAAATTGTTCAGATAATCCTTTTCTCTGTGTTACATTGAATTATTTTAATCAGTCTCTCAAAAGAGTTGTTTTCTAAATTTTTCAAAATAATTTTCACTGTTTCCATATCATTGAGTATCATTAAACACATATATTTTCAATTTATTTGTAAAGCAAACAACGGCAGGGATCGAGACCCGAATTTTAATATTATAAGCCCGCTATTTAACCGCTGAGCTATAACGACTGTATACACTTGATACAACTAATATTATTTCAATAATTATTTATAACAACACAAGTTACTTCGCTTTACACATTATTACCTTGTAAGATATTTTGTCCTGAATTAAGCCCACAATCACTCGACTGAGGGCATGAACAACTCCAGCTACAGAACCAGTGGTGGCTAGAAACGTGTCGTCTTGTATAAACGTCTGTCCATAGGTCTGAAAAACAGTAAGAAAGTATTTTTTAAGTCTCAACACAGTCCTATTGTTGGTACTTAGTTTGTAACTAACTACAAGTTATTCTTATTTTATATTAGGTTTTATATTTTTATATTAATTTTTAAATGAAAATCGTAGTTAATAGAGTTATAAACTTTCATGGTTATAACTTGAAATAAATCTTAGAAAATAAACTAATATCAAGTTCATAAACTTACCTTATAAAACACATTTACAAACATGAATGGAAAATATGAGCAAATACAAACTATAGTTAAAAGATAAAATTCTTTCATTTTCAGAGCTTCTTTTGGTGACACATGAAGTTTAACATCGCCATCATTGTACGGTTGTTCGTCATCAACGTTCACATTGGCTGAATCTTCTTCCAATGATTCACATACTTTGTCGTTATTTATTGTTGTTCTACAGTCCAAATCTTTCGTACTTGGTCCACTAAGTTCTTTACTACACGTTTCATACACATTAGTTAGTTCACTGGATATTGTTTCTTTGTGTGTTAGAAACGAATACAGTTGTTTCCTATATAAAGAAACAGACAATACACTAAGGAGAAAAATATACTTACGAACTTTCCTAATCATTTTTCTTACCTGACTAACCATTCATTTTAAACAACTCTATTTTCTTACAAACCACTACCATTCGTTTATATTAAACATTGGTTAAGCTTATTTACATAAAAATGTTGTAATTCCATCAATGTTTCTATTTAGTAGTATAAACATCTATCTTCACAGCTTTGGTTCACATCTTTAAGTGTATATCCTAAAATGTTACGATTTCTTCCAAACAATAAAGTATCTCTACACTTGTTACCAAAAACGTATAAAGTACCCATATTTGGTATTATTTACCACTATTGTAGAGGGTATCTACGCTCATTAGAAAAAGTACGAAGAGGAGTAATGAAGCGTTTCAAACAATATAATATAAAAACAGGGGAATAACTTTTACTGCCATTTCTTGGTATAATAAGGAATTAATTATCTTACAAAGTACTCATGTTTATGTGTTTATCAATCATCTAAGTTTGTGTTCATTATAGAACCGAAATGTATCCAAGTAGAACTTTCAAGATCAAGTTTTGAAGATATATCTCCAGAGGTTCATTAGCTGTGGTTCTAACCGAATTATTTGTTAAAATTGTTGAGTTTAAATTCAGCATATGTCTTATTACTCAAACTAAAATAATCCCAGCTCGCTTTAACGAAAATTAGCATCATCAAATAAGACGGACTTATTCAAATTATATAATGCGAATTTACTTTGTAGTCTAAAATACCATAAATAAACTTTTTAATCAAATTCCTCTAACCTGATTTGACTCTTGAGGTAATTCTTTGTACATTAGCAGCCCAATTAGTAGAATACCACCAGTAACACTTGCCATTATCAGAAACAAAACAGGAACATTTTCTGTAATTTCATCTTTGTAAAAAAACCTGAAAAAATATAGAAAGTTTACTCGTTAATGAAAAATTAAGTT